TTCCTGCCACCACTCCCCATGTGCCATGTTCAGGCATTGGTTCCTAACAGTGTGTGGGGTATCAGGGAACACCAAGGTTCCCCTGTTACCCCATCTACAGGGTATGCTGAGATGGCCTTGGATAACATGGACGGCTTGCTTGTCACAGTCAGTGGAGGTCTGGAGAGGAACTTTGAGAGGCTTTGGCTAAGTCCTGGCTCCTGCTTACTCCCATTCTACAGTTGAAAGAGTGAGGAGGAGATGACGTAAGTCCAGTCATGCTCTGTCTGTAGGCATATACAGCAAGGGAACTAAGGTCCACCTCCTGCGTGGGCACTCCTACAGTAGCAGCTGAAGGAATACACAATTCCTGCTGCCACCCCAGGTACACTGTTCCCACCGCAGGCCACTGCTGTACCTTGTTTGACCTCCCACTGATGTCAGGACTGGGTGTGAGTACCACAGAGGGGATGCTGCAGTTCCTGCCACCTCCCATCCCCATGCAGTGTCTAGGCCCATACTACTGGTCAGAGGACAAATGCTTCAGGCCCCTCATCACTACTCAGACAGTATCAGAGGCCCTTGCTAGAAACAGATATAGCACTAACAGCACCTGAGGAAACCTCCATCCCCAAAGAGGCCACTACTCCCCTTCAGGTAGAGCACACAGGGATAAGCCACACCCACTGCGGTCTGCACCACACCTGCCTGAGCGTTGTGGCCAGACTCACTAGGAAGCTACAGGAAGACTACACTAGAGTGCCCAGCTAGAATCAAAGCCAACTGCATAGCAAATGGACACCCCAAGACACATCTTCAGGAGAAAGCTTCTTACCAAGAAAGCCACCCATAAAAGTGGTAGTGAGGGGCTGGGGCTGTAGCTCAGTGGTAGAGCACTTGTCTCATCCATGTGAGGCTCTGGGCTCCATCCTCAGCACCACATAAAAAATAAATACATAAGAAGGTATTGTGTCCATTTACAACTAAATAAGTACTTTTTAAAAAGTGGTAATACCTGATTTACTAGGATGCACAAATCCCAAAGTAGGAACATGAGAAATATGAAAAAACAAGCAATATGACACCTCAAAAAGTCCCTAACTCTCTAGCAACAGATTCCAAAGAAACTGAAGTAGATGAAATGCCTAATAAAAAAATTCAAAAGAATGATTATAAAAAAGTACATGATCCAAGAGAATATAGATAAAAGTTAAATGAATTTAGGAAGACGGTGGATGCTCATGTTCCACCTAAAATTGAACTTAGGGAACATAAATAGAGTAATAAGATTACTGAGCAAGTAATTTGATTAAATAGTTAATAAAACGTCTCCCCAGGGGCTGGTGTTGTGACTCAGCAGTAGAGTGCTCGTCTCGCGCGTGTTAGTCCCTGGGTTTGATCCTCAGCACCACATAAAAAATAAAGGTATTGTGTCCATCTACAAACTTAATTTTTTTTTAAGTCTTCCCAAAGAAAAGATGACCTGAGGGATTCACTGCTGAGTTTTACCAATCTTTTAAAAGAACCTCAGTTCTTCTCAATCCACAAAATTGGAAGGGAGAGGACCCTTCCAGACTTCTTCCCTGAGGTCAGCATTAGCCTGTTATCAAAATGTTATAAGGACAAAATAATGATAACAACAAAAAAAATCAACAACAAAAGAAAACTCTATCCCTAAACATAGATGCAAATATCCTCAACAAAATACTAGCATATTGAAATCAAAAAGATCATATGCCATGATCAAGCTGGTTTCATTCCAGGGATGCAAGGATGGTTCAACATATGCAGATCAGTAAACATAAATCATCACATTAATAGAATGATGGAAAATCATATGAAGCATCTCAATAGATCAGTAAAAGTACTCAATGAAATTTAATACCCCTTCATGATAAATGCCTTGAATAAATTAGGTTCAGGATAATATTTTCTCGATATAATAAGGGTATGTAACAAACCTATAGCCAACATCATAATGGGGGAAAAACTAGAAGCATTTCCTCTAAAATCAGGTTCCAGACAAGGGTATTTGCTCGCTCTAACCACTGTTATTCAATATAGTACTTTAGCATCAACTATTAGGCAAGAGAAAGAAAAAGCATACAAACAGGGAGGGAATCAAATTATACTTGTTTGCAGATGATATGAATCTGAACATAGAAAAATATAGTTTTCACTAAGACTATTAAAAGTGATAAATGAATTCAGTGAAGTGGTAGAGCACAAAAATCAGTAGCTTTTCTATTTATCAATATCAAATTTACTGAGGAAATCATGAAAGCAATCCCATTCACAATAGTCTCAAAAATTGAGATAAAATAAAAATACCTAAGAATAAACTTAACCAAGGAGGTGGAAGACCTCTACCATGAATATTTAAAGGTATTGAAGAAAACAACAACAAAAAATATGGCAAGACCTCTTATGTTCAAGGGTTAGAAGATTTAATATTGCTAAAATGTCCATATCACCCAAAATAATACATCCATTCAAGTCAATCCCCAACAAAATACCAATGACATTCTTCACAGAACTAGGAGAAATACTAAAATTCATATGAAAGCACAAAGGACCTTGCAATATTGAGCAAAAAGAACAAAGCTAGAGGTATCACAATACCCAGTTTTAAGACATATTATAGACCCACAGTAACAAAAACAGCATGGTATTGGCATTAAAAACAGACATATACACCAAATGGAACAGGATGGAGTTCCCAGAAATAAATCCATACATCTACAGCCAACTGATTCCAACAAAGGTGCCAAATACATATGTTAAGAGAAAGCCTCTTCAACAAATGGTGCTGGGAAAACCGGATATCCACATGCAAAAGACTGAAACTTGGCCCTTATCTCTCACCCTGTACAAAAATCAACTCAAAATGGACCAAAGACCTAAGTGTAAGGCCTGCAGTTCTGAAACAACTACAAGAAAACATAGTAGAAATATTTCAAGGCATTGATACAGGAAATAAAACCAGAAACTAACAAATGATGTTACATCCAATTAAAAGCTTCTGAACAGCCAAAGAAACAATCAACAGAGTGAAGAGAACCCACAGAATGAGAGGAAATATTCATCAGCTACATCGGACTGAGGGTTAATATCCAGATATAAAGAACCCAGAAAACTTAGTCAAAGAATAAGTAACCCCACTATTAAAAAAAAAAAAAAAAGAGGGCAGAAGATCTGAACTGACACTTCTTAAAGAAGTAAAGATCGCAAATAAGTATATGGAAAAGTGTTTAACATCTTTGTCAGAAATGCAAATCAAAACTTTCACTTTACCCCAGTTAGATTGCTATTATTAAAAAAAAAAAAAAAACAAAGTGAAGCAAAAAATAACAAATGCTAGTGAGTATGTGGAGAAAAAAGGAGCTTTTATACACTGTTGTTAGATTAGTACGAGACACTGTGGAAAACTAAAAATAGAACTTCCATATGATTCAGCTATTCGTCTCCTGTTTATATATACAAAGGAAATATGTCAGTATACAAAATAGATATCTGCATACCTGTGTTTATTGTGGTCATATTCACAATAGATAAGATTGGAATCAGCCTAGGCACCCGTCAACAAAGAGATTAAATACACACACACACACACACGGGTCTATTATTCAACCATAAAGGAGGATGAAATCCTTCTTCATTTGCAGCTAAATAGATGGAAATGGAAGATAATATGAAGTGAAATAAGCCAGGCATAGAAAGACAACTACTGCATGTTCCCTCTCACATATGGAAGATACTAATGTCAACCTGAAAGTAGAACAGTGATTTACTGGGTTTTGGCAGGGGTGAGGGTAGTTGCATATGGTCAATCCATGCTGTATGCATGTGTGGAAACATCACACCAAACCCCATTGATATGTACGATTACTATGTGTTAATAAAACTTTTTAAAAAGTATTTTGTAATCCCTTCTTTCACCTTGTTTTGGTTTATCATAAAAAGTCATAAACCTCTATGACTGAAAAAAAAATTGTAGTTCCAGATGATCTTTCTCAAAGGGGAAGTATCAGATCCTTTGAAAGGCCAAGCAGTTCTCTGATCATGTATTATTACAGTCATTGGAGTCAAATAAGAACACAGGTGGTAATTTATCTCATGCTAACCCCTGAACAGTTAGAATGACTTACATGTGTCCATGCAGGTCTACAGAGGTGCAGGCTATGGACCTCGGCATACCAGTTCCATGTATTTTGCTGTGCCCCATTTGGAGAAGCTTTTAATTATTTCCGCTTTGCTTGGAGCAGAAAGTTGATTTGCTACTCTGCGTCCCCATCCTGGGCTCCCCAGGCAGCCCTGGTTAAGGACCCCACTTTATTTCAATAGTGGCCCCTCTCATCGGTTCACTTGAATTCAATACATAAATTGAGCTCTTTTTGTCCCTTCTCTTTTAGCACACACACACTGCAGTGGACTAGGAATGTAGCTAATTTGCATGTGAGAAAAGCTGTGCTTCAGAGAAATGGGGGTGATGTCTGACTCTGGATGTGACCCCTGAGAGGAACAGCTGAGAATACCTTTGCAGTATTTTTTTCCACTTAGAGAATAATGCTCAAAAACAGCCATTAATACAATGTTCTTGAGAGTCATGTCAGATCTTTGTTATCTGAGGTGATTTTTCCTCTATTGTGTGAAGTCCCTAGCTCAGATCCCCCGAGAATATGGCCTGAGTATGCTGCCTCTTTAGGCACCCTCACTTGATTTCTTCCCTTGTTATAGGAACTTTCAGGCCAACCTGTCATTTTAAATCTCTCATTAGCTTTGCAAAGAAATTTGACATTTGCTGACAGTCATTGTCATGTTAGATAACTGCTTTTGCTTTCTTTCTACAAAGATTAAAACAAGTGAGAAGACGACAACTCTCTGCCAAAACCCGAAAGGAAGCGCCGAGGAGCCTCTGTGGGCTCTTCTATCTGGATGCAGCTCACRCAGACTCCACCTGCAGCTAGCAATCAACACGCTAAATTTCAGCAATGAAAGTTCAATTGAGAAAATTCATTTACCTTGGAGTCCAGCTGCTGCATGTATGACCAAAGATATTCTATATTGGCTCCAAAAGGATGGACGTGAAGAAATGTTGATATGATGCCTGAATAAAAAAAGCAAAAACGTTGAAAAGTACTTAGAGGCAAGTGAATGTCTCAGTTAAATAATGTCATCTAACCTCAATGACTTTTGTCAGGTTGAGTTATGGTCTTGCTACTTCTAAGAGAAGTCAACAAACATTCAATAACAGCACGTTCTGGAGATGGTACAGTGATGTGGCAAAAAAAATACTCGGTCCCCTAGAATGACAGTAGTTAGCAAAGCTAGACTCTGAGATGACATTTAGATGAATAAAGGTATTTCTAAACAAAGACTCCTGGAAGCAGTTCAACTACCAATTTTATGCTTGATTTACCAATACAAAATTATAGTTATTGGAAGGATAAAATTATCTCTCTTTTTTCTCTCAGTAGATTTTGCAGTGTGAAAATGGCTAATGTGGTTGTATCCAAAATCACACTGTCTCAAGTTTTCCTGATAATTACAATTCTGATTATGAAAAATGCATAATCCATATTCTCCAAACTGCCATCAGAAGAAGTACACATTCTTACTTTAACATTTGCTGTTTCCCTCTGGTTGTTGCTGTTGTGGAAAAGCAGCCAGCTTGCTTTCCTTCCTCTGCTGTAATTTACAAGATCATTTTATAAGGTCTGGGAATGGATGCTTTGGCTGGAGTTTGAATATAAATCAGAAGGTCTTTCCATCATGAAAACCAACTGTTAGAGTAATACTGACAAACGAACAGCTGGATGTTGGTGTCAGGGCTGAAGCAGAAAGTATTACCCACCCATCCTCCCTGTTCCTGTTTTGCCAAATCAAAACAGTGGACTCCATAGACTGTATTCTGCTTTTTGTTAAGAAGTTCTTACACTGACTTCTAGAGGGAGGGGGTACCAGGAATTGAACCCAGGGGTGCTTAACCACTGAGCCACATCCTAGCACCCCTACCCTTTTTTTTTTTTTTTTAGTTATAGGTGGACACAATACCTTTATTTTATTTTTATGTGGTGCTGAGGATCGAACCCTGTTCCTCACACGTGCCAGGCAAGTGCTCTACCACTGGGGGCCCAGCCCTTTTTTAAGAAAATTATTTTTGAGTCAGGGTCAAAATTGCTCAAGGCCTCGCTAAGTTGCTGAGGCTGGCTTTGAATCTGGGATCCTCCTGCCTCAGCCTCCTGAGCTGCTGGGATTATAGGTATGTGCCATCGTGCCCAGCTTATACTGACATTTAAAAAAAATTAAATTAGTCATACATGACAATAGGATGCATTTTGACACATCATACATAAATGGAGTACAACTTGTCATTCTGACATTTTTACACTGATGTTTTTAAGTGCTCTTTTAAGCAGGTTTCAAGATGCATTAACTCTCTTGCTCTGTTTATAGTGAACCTTGATGCTTTGGAGCCAGAGGTCAAAGGGAAGATTGTCACTTCTGTAGCATGCACTCAGAGCACCAGGCAAGCCTGTCGTTCTTATGTGAGGCCATCCTATATTTGCAGGTGCCCTTGGACTGATCTGGGATAGGGCTGCATGGCCCCCCGCTTGTGTGCTGCTTGAGGTGCTCTGGAGTGAGTGTCCACTTTTAAAGAAAAGTTCCCAGATTATCTTCAGGATGAGGAAGATAGAACAGTGGGGTCTAGACTGATCCTCTGAAGGCTGCATCTATAGGTTTGTGAATGAGGAAGGTAGAAACAATTACATATGTCTGTGAAGCTAAAGATCTCAATTTTCAGAGACTGCCCTGAATTATAAAGAACTACCATTTTATTCTGAGGGGGTGTTATTTCTTCTCTCTCTCTTTGCTAAAATGTCTTTTAATGAAATAATGGTGACAGTAGATGGTAATGATAGTAGTTTTAATATTTTTAAATAGCAACCTGAAAAATACATTTTATATGCCTGTTTAAATTTTTTTTTTATCAGATTCATTTTGGAAGAGCTTCCTAGATGAATAAACAAAGCCTTTTTTTCAGCTCCCTTGAAGGAACTGGGCTATTCCCTGAAATGGTGAAAGGACAGCTGTTACTCAAAAGCTAATGAAATGCCCCAAACCTTCTAATTGGAGACGTTTTACAGTCCTCTGGAGTAACCTCAAGTTGTGGTAAGGGGAACATGAGGGATCGAGGATGGAGAGTTTAGCTGAGGTTGAACTGGAGGATTTATAAAAGGATGGACTCAACAATTGTGCTGGCCATTTCCAGGGAGAAGTGGGAGGCTCCATAGGTAAGAATTTGTTTCCCAGCAGTAGAAAATACAATTGTAAGTGGCTAATTCGAAGGAGGGGAAAGAAAAGCAGGGGAAGTTGTCAGTTCTACTTGGCTTTTCTGAATATCTCAGAACCTTAAAAGCTACTTCAGAAAAACACACAAACCAGTTCTGTACAACCAGTGGCAAATCTCATTAGGAAAGCCCCCTTAAATAGTCTACGTAAAAGCATTCCATCAAAACCATCTAATTTATTCTTATTTTTGAACCTCATTAGAATCAAGAGAGCAGCTTTAAATTAACCCAATAGTACAAGTTTTGTTGTTCTTCATTCACTTCCTTTAAACACTTGTTTARCAGCAATGAGGTCCGAAGGTGCTAGGGGAATGACACCACGTAAGACAGAGTGCCTGCTGTCATGGAACTTTTATTCTAGGGGAACAACGCAGATGATAAAAAAAAATAAAGGAAATATTTCCAGATAGTGGTAAGCATAAGGAAGAAAACAAAACAATGTGAGATGGGAAGGAAACAACCACAGAAAGCCTAGGGGTTAGTTAGGTGTAGGGGATAGATAGTGCAAAGGCCCCCCTGAGGCCAAAATGAGCAGCCTGGAACACTGAGCCTTCAAATAGAGGCAGGTGGGGCGGATAAGGTAGGGCCTCTGTGCCAGAGTTAGGGGTCGGGTTTAAATTCTAAATGTAGCAGGGAACCAGAAGAGGAACTCAAAACTAAGCCCTGAAGAAGTCTAAAAGTTTAAATTGAAGAAAACTCAGCAAAGAAATGTGGGAGGGTGTGATCAACAAGAAAGAATGGCCTCGAGATGAACAAGAGAAGAAAGCGTTTCCAGAAGACTCATATCTGAATTCAACCATGCAAAGTGCAGTTGACAGAGGTTGTGGAGAGTCTGGCAATATGAAATCCTCTGGTCACTTGGGCAAGAGTAGTTTTGGTGTGAGGATGCAAGCCAGACTGGAGAGGGAGGAAATGGAGACTGAGTCCAGACAATGCTTTGACGTGGAGCAGGGAAATGGGCTGTTGGTTGAAAAAGGTTATGGGGTCCAAATAGGTTTCCCTCTCTTTTCTTTTAAAGGTCCAAGATAAGAGAGCTCATGAGTGTATATGCTGAGGCATGTGATCCTGTGCTTGCATACAAGGTCACACGAAGGCTCCGAGGACATGGAACTGCAGTGCCAGCAGGGAGGAAGTCCTGTGAAATCTGGATCTCTTGCTGAGCCCACTAGGGGACACTGGTCTGTGGACAGCTAAAGATCATCAAGGTGCTTGTGGACAGAGGCAAGCCTGAGAATGGTAGGAAACACGTGCGGTTTGGACTGATGCTTCTTGGTGTCCTGGGATTTAAAAAAGCTTTAACTTTCTAAAAAGTAGTAAGTGCACAACSTGGTCTTGCATATTGGTTGGTTTTTGTTTCATTTTTATCTTTATTTTGTCCGTCTGTCTGTCTKTTCAAACAAACCCCTCAGACTATATTTGGGTCTTTCAGTGAATTGCTCCTTATATCTGAAATGCCCTTGACAACCTCTTATCCATTCATCCTTTAAGAACAGGCAGACCGTCCTTTCTTTTCGCAAGGCATCTTGAACATACGCAGTTGYCCCTATTTCTTACTTTAGTGCAAACCTCATTCATTGTAGTGAATTGCTTCCTTTCTCACTGTGAACCTCTTGAGGGAAGAGATCCTCTTACTACCAACAGTTAAAATGGGCATTGGCATGGCTGTAGGATGGCCAGTACTTCTCCAAACACGGTTCCAGAAGTGCTGGCTTCAGTATCACCATGGATGCTGAGGGGCGGGGGCATCCAAGTTTCTGCCTTCTTCATAAGCTGTAGAGGGGATTCTTCTCCCCAATGAAGGCTGATAATTCTTATAGTAGGCTCTTGACAAATGTTTGCTGATTTACTGATATGGACATTTGTGCCTCAGAAATAAGATTTAGGTCAATGACTCATTCTTTATGGTCAGTAGCTTTCCGAGAGGAACTCACACTCCAGATTACTTTGCTCAGGCACAGCCTAAATATAGCCTCAATGCTAATGACTGAAAACACCACAAAAGTCACTGCTGAACATTCTGCAAATCTTCTCTCCACTTTCCATTCATCTGCTCCCTGATACCCGAGTATCAGGGGAACATTCCAATTTTGACACSACTGCACATGTGTGAGATGGCGGCGTGAGGGGGGCCCTGAAGTGAAGAAGCACCTTGGTGATGCACAGTAAGGGTTCTGATCTGCATAGGAGTCGGGATGTACAGAAGTTYGTCTGATCATTAAGAATTTAGGAAGAGTTCTCAGAGGACCAAGGGAGGTTTTGAGGAAAAGCTACTTTGTAAACACTTTGAGTTGCTGGAGGGTTTTGATTTTATCTGAAAGGGATTCAGTGATGAGTGGCATTGAMAGGATGCCAATCAGAGGTGCTGGCATGGGAAATCTATTGGATTATTATTCAAAAGCAAGAGAAGATAGGGATACAGACCAAGTATATTATCAACATCTCCTCAGAGCCATTAGTTTATCAATAAAACATCTGATCCATTCTCCTTAAGAACAATTATGTAGGGATTTCCAGTCAGCCACAGCTCCAAAACTTCCGTCCTAAATACAAAGTACTGACTCATTCTATCTCAAACAACTTCAGCATATGCCAGATCCAACATGTAGACCATATGTGAAATGAACAAGGAGTTCTGGCATAGACACCCGGTAGAGGCAAGCTGACTTAGTGTGAGGCTACGGCACAGCTATGAAACATAAAATGCCACCCAGCAACAGCCCCAGAAAAAATCTAATCCTTTATGGTCCAGTTATATGTTAACCTGTCTTCACAAGGATTGATTTCAAAATAAATAGTTCCCAAATCACAATAATGAAGTGCTTTCTAAAGACCTGTTTCTAGTTGAGTTGAAACTGAGTACCTGATCCCCATTAATTGTCACAAAAAAAGACTGGCACAATGGCTGAGCTCTCAGAAGCCTCAGGATCCAGATCTGCAAAGCTCCAAATGTTACCTATGAAATCCCACTGATCCTCTCATAAATATCAACTCATATCCCTTGAAATGAAGATCCCAATTTTAAAAAGTGCTCATGAGAATGTCCAGATAGGACATATGCTTTTGCACAGATAAATCAGTGTCCCAAATAATCAAAAGTAACTGGGATTGTTTATTGTTTATGAAGCTTGAGCCTCAGTTCTATATTCTTTGTAGGTGAAATCCATTTGAAATCATTTATTGTTCACTTTTCCTTTCTTTCAGGCGATCAAGATTTGTGCCAATATGCATTTCTTATATACATTAATGTGTCCCAAGAGGGGATCAGGTCATGTGCATTTACTGGCACATCATGTATACTATGGACACCCATCTGTGATGATGATTTTGCCAGTTACGATTTCCAAACATGTGAGGGAGATTTTCTGCTGTGCTCCTGGGATTCTAGACTGGCTCAGGGTGTCCTCTAAGCCTGTATCCTTGCTACATGTTTAATTATTCCAGCGGAATTGCAGAGTATTTTTAAACCCTCCAGTTGTACCCTAAGTCTGAGGACTCTCAGAATCATTCTACCTGCAAGAATCTTCAAAGCGGCACAGCCCCAGCAACTTCCCTTTTCTCTCTTGCCTGGTCCACAGCAGTTTTGTCCCCACTACAGTCTATTATCTAGATTCCAAAAGCTGCAGGGAAGGTCTGAATGTTCCCAACATTCGGGTATCTACAAAGTAGGAATGGCCAAGCTAAATTAGCAAGATTAATGGCAGAGGGCAACTTCATCTTTTCACAGGATCTACTGCCATCCTTAGAAACATCTCAATTATGTTTTCTTTTTTAAAAATAGGATTATTCTCTTTGATTACAAAAAGGTATAAAAATATAGATGTTTGTGGATTTGAATAACAAATAGTATCTTTTTGTCAAACTAACCTGATGTAGARTAAAATAAAATGTCAAGAAAGGTAGAGAGGAAATAGGAGTTTCCCCCTCTCCAATCTCTAAGTATAATTTAATTGAATGCTTAAGTCTCCCTTCTACCTCCACATTCTCATGTACTGATTTAAGATGAATGAACTCGCTGGTTCTCTTCTGCTCAACCCTAAACTTCAAACGGTAATATAGACAGTCTAGTTTAAGGGATCAACAGCGAGGGGGAATGTCCTGGAAAATTTAGAGTCTATTGTGCATACTTTCTAACGAAGACCTTGACTTACTAACATTTTTGTTTCTAATACACTTGAATTAACTAATTTCAATTTTTTCCTTGTACTAAAGACATTACTGAAGAATGTGTGTTATAAATGTAACCTATCTACTCCTGTTATTGTATAGTATATAAACACTCTTTTTAAATTTTGAGGGAAGTGATTTTGTGTGTGTGACAGATCCTAGTAACTATGTAGAAGATTTTAACAGGAAGAAAATAAATAGTCTTGCTCTCACTTTTTTTTTTAAACCTTCCAGTGGTCAGAATTATTCACACTTAAACAAAGAGAAATTTTTTTCTGCATATCATTTTGTGCTCTGTTAATATCCTAAAAAAGCATTATAGGTAAAATCACATTTTTGTCACACTGAGTGAAAGAGAAACAACTGTCAGAGTTGGACACATTTTCCAATAGGAGAAAAATCCAGTTACCAACTACACTTGGGTTCATTTGGGGTTCCTGAGACTGACAGCACATCAGCATGTCTTCTGAGACTTGCACATGGCATGTTATTATAGCTGTATATCATCAGAGAGAAAAAAAATAATTGGTTTTCCTTGGAGTATCTCTAAGTTGATGTCATATTCAATAACCCTGTAGTTGAAAAATCTATATATGATGGATGAAGTTTGGACTATCTTTTGAATTTAATTCCTTCTGTGCCAGCTTCTGCAGGCCTTGGTATACCTGTCATCTTGAGGTAAGAGCATATGCAGTATTTAACTGCATCCAAGCACTACTTCTGCCAGATAACGAACTCCAGGAGAACAATTTTTCTCACATGTACAACAGTCTCATTCTTCACTGTTAATGGTGCCAYGGAGGAGCCACTGAACTTGGAGAACCTGGGGTAGGTGCCAAGATGCAGCTTGAATAGAGGCTGTGAATCACAGGGTGAGACAATGCTTCCTTTCATCTGGGTTTGAGGGCTTCAGGGGCATACAGGCTACTAAGGCACATTATAACACATTTCCACCAAGACCTCCTCCCTGCAAGAGTCTGTACTGCTTCTGTATCTGTGGATGATGGCTCTCAAAAGTTACCATCTAGAGCTTTGTCTGGTCCAGACAAAGAAAAAGCCAACCTAGAAGTAGTTTGTGGGGCAACGGTGTGTTTTAGGTGAACAGCAAATTTCTTCATCTTCCTTGGTGGCCAGTGTCTTTTGTTCATCTTGCGTAAATGGATCCACACTTAGACAAGGAATTCTGGATTAGAAGGCCCTGGATTAGCCTAGCACTAATAATCTGGATGTACCTGTTTCATGTGTTTTACGGGCATGGCTCTGGGGCTCCCCTCAGGACATGGCCACTGCTGAGGGGTGCGAGGTTAATCTTCTGGGTTCAAAGCCTAGACATTTGACTTGGTTTGGAACTTTTGGATTAGAACCAACCTGGCCTCCAGGTGGAAGTCCAAAGTCCAAATTCACATTTGTGACATGTGAGGTATAAATTAATCTGTTTACTTGAACTTGGTTTCATGTCTGACAACCAACTAATACATATGGTTACAGAAGAGCAAAACCTCCATTAGTTTGTATGCCACTAATGTGAAATGTATGTAATATATTCTTGATGAGATTAATCTCACCTCTGACCAGAAGGCAAAGTTGTTTAAATTGCTAACAAGCTGGAGTTGAATTAATAAARTATTATTTAAGCTAATTACCCAAGACTTAAGAGAATAGATGAAGAAAAAGAATTTCCTTACCTATTAGAAGAGCTTCTTTCTCTGATTTTAAGCCTTGGCTTCTTTTCTCAATATTGTTCTCTCGATCTTGGTTGACTAATGCAACTGTCAACACATTGATTTCCTATAAAGTTAAAAAACAAAAGCCATATATATGTTTATGTAGATTCTATAAATTTCAATAAAAATCACCAGATATCTTAAGCTCTATAAAAGAGGTCATCACTTCCATTTATAAGAGAATATCAAATCTTATAAATAATTGATTTGTCYAATAGTAGAAAAGTAATTATAAAAACCTAGGCTCCTAACTTCTTCAAGCAAACCAAGAAACTCTGTGCAAGTAGAAAATTTGGCACAAATTATCTTAGATTTTTGTCCATGTTTTAATTAAATTCTATTCACTAAAGCTGTATTTGTAGCTAATTTAACAGGTTTTATTTAAAAATGAAAAATTTTCTAGGAAAGCCTATAGCACACTGATTTATAATGCTATACTAGTATCTTGAGTGAGTATGTAGGGAAACAGGACCTATTGGAGAGCAAGAAATTGTTGGTAGGAATATTTAAATTGAGTAAGTATGAATCCTGATATACAACTGGAAAAGGTAGATAAAGCAAAAGCTGGGAAATTCTTTTCTTTGGGAGCTAAAAGTGAAAAACTGTACAATAAACCAATAACACATGAAATATTGATGCTGGACTAGTTTTAGTTCTTTATAACTTGAAGACAGAGATAAAGATCTAACTCATATATTCCCAGTCTTGATATTAAGACCCAAAAGAGAGTGATTTAATAGGAATTTAATGATCTGCATGTGTRGGATAATAGAATCATTAGGGAAGTTGAGTCTTATAGAGGGAAGATGTTCACTAAAAGATTGTTTTACACAGATCCAAGATAACTAAATATATGTTTCCTATACAAAGTTATGCTACAGAGTAGTACCAGGGAAATAAAGGAAACACTATACTTCCAGGAGAGTAACTGAGGGAGGACTCTGGAAATCAGCAAGGGAATAATGGGAACCTTAAAACCTGGAGATCTGGAAAAGCAATCAAGAGAAAAGAACAAGACAATCTGCAACTTCAACCCCAAGTCATGTCTGGGGAGTAGTGTGTAGGGGATGCAATGACTCCACTATGCCAGGAGAAGGTAAGTGACAAAGTACCAGCAAAACCCATAAGAGCAGTATATGGGAGGTCCTAATTGCAAGAGAAGTCCACAGTCCTTATAGGCTTAAATACAGCTTGGGAACTGGCTGGTCTAAGAACAACTTCTCTGCTCAAAACAATAAACTCACATTGGGCCTTGCCCAGCCCCCAGAGCACAAGCTGTTACAACAGATGCCACTTCTAGATGCCTTAGGGGATGGCAGCTGGCTCCYTGAGCTGATGGCAGCCTTGGGCCTGTGTGTGCCTCACAGAGCAGAGAGACAGCTTCCTCAGCATCTTGCACCTCCAGGACCAGCAGCTGCCAGAGCCAGAAGCTCAAGTTCCAGTGGCACTCGTTCCATAGAGATGAGGGAAGGTGGTCTCAACAGTCTGCAGCCTTCAGATTGCAGCTGCTGGTATGAAAGTCCCCATATCACCTGTGTCTGTCTGTGGAGATCTGGGGAAGGTTCTAGCTACAGTCCCAGAATCATGGCCCAAACCCAAGTACCACCCATGCTTGCTCTGAACCTGGGAAAGGTTAAATTCATATTCTTCAGCTCCAGAAATGTAACTACCAGTGCCCTAAATCTTGTGCTACCTGCAGGGAGTAGGAAAGGTCTTATCTTCAGCCCATAGCCTTGGAACTGCAATTGCTATTACAAAATTCCTCAGCATCAACCATGCTCATCTCTGGAAAATAAGGACATTTCCACCATGTCCTGAAGTTCCAGGACCATCATTACCAATGCCACAAGTCTTGTCCCATTAACACTTGACCTGCATGAGCTAGGGACATTCCTATCCACATCCTACATCTCCAGACCATAGGTACCCAAATGCCAAGCCCTGACACTCCTTGTGTTTGGACTAGAGATGTCCCCTCCGCCTTCTTCACTTCTAGTTTCATGGGTAACCATACCACAAGCCCAAATGTCACCTGTGTATTCTCTAGGAGACCTAGATAAGGTCTCATCCACAGCCTGGAGTCCTGGAATCATACCTGCTGTTGCCCTGGCATCACCCGTGTTTGTCTCTTGACAAACTGTAGAAGGTCTCATCTGGGTCCTGCAGTTCTAAAAAGTGGTTACCAGCACTTCGAGGCCCAGAGGTATCCATAATAAATTCATAAARCCCAAGGAAGGTTCCCTTTACGCCCTAACCTTCAGTCCATTGTTCCCAGTGCCAACAGCCCCATCATCACCTGTTTTCATTCAGGGGGATTTGGGGAAGGTTCTATTCCATCTGGGGCTCCAGAATTAAAGCTGCTGGTGCCACAGGCCCTGGATCTCACATTCATCCTGAGGAATCTGGAGAAAGTCTCCTTCACATCCTATGGTTCAGGGAGATGGCTGCTGACATCCTTGGTGTAACCTATGCTTGCCTGTGGGACCTGGGGTGGTCCTTTCAACATTCCACACCACCAACTCTGCAACAGCTACCATTGCGTTGATGCCCCAGTGCCATCACTGCTTGACTCTATGGGATCTGAGGATTTACATCTTTAAAAGCCTATGTCTAGTGCAAAGTTGTACAACTATTTTCGTGCTCTGCTGCAGTCTAGACAACTGAGGCATCGATGTTGTCGACATTAATCGCAATCAAAGAAACTGTACTTTTGAACTCACGTATAATCAAAGCAAAAGTAGCTACATGGTTGACATCATACATCCCATCTAAATGAAAAAACATTCTCCTACAAAAGCTATTACATAAAATTGGAAGAGGTGAATAGTTCACTAGATGTGCAACGTCAACATTAGGGGAACAAAAAAGATACCTCCAAAGGAATGCATATGAAATCCCCAGAAATCCCACTTTTGAGGAAAAAATATAAATTTCTGAAAAAATTCAAAATAATGACCCTAAAGACACCGAGTGAGATGCAAGAGAATATAGACAGACAATGCATAGGAATGAGAAAAAAAATTTCAGGATATGAATAAGAAATTCACCAAAGAGAGACCATAAAAAGTAAAATAAGAAATCTTGAAGCTAAAAATATCAATCCACAAAATAAAAAATACAATTGAGAGAGTCTATACTAGATGAGAATAAGCAGAAGAGTGAATTTTTGAACTTAAGTTCAGGTCTTTTTTAACTCATATAGATAAAAAAAAATTAAAAAGGATGAAGTAAGCATGTGAGACTTTATGGGACCCTATTAAACAACTTTTCACATCATGGGAATTTCAGGAGAAGAAAAGGAGAAAGGAAGTGAAAACCTATTTCACAAAATAATGATTGAAAATTTCACAAATATTCAAAGAGGTATGGACATCCGATATAAGTTCGGAGGACTCCCAGATAGATTCAACCCCAAACGACTTTCACCAAAGCACATTTTAGTCAAAAGTATAGGATAAAGTGAAAATCCTAAAAAGAGCAAGATAAAAGCATCATGTCAGAGGCTGGGGTTGTGACTCAGTGATGGAGTGCTTGCCTTGCATGTACAAAGCACTGGGTCCAATTCCCAGCTCCACATAAAAAAACTAAACAAAATAAGAAGGTAATTTGTCCATCTATAACTAAAAATATTTTTTTWAAAAGCATCACATCTTTTGGGAATGCCTGTTAGACTTATAGCAGAAACCCTAAAGCCAGAAGAGAATTGAATGATATAGTCCAATTCCTAAAAGAGAAAACCATGCCAACCAAGAATACTATATATACTCAGTAMACTATCTTTCAGAAATGATCAAGTGGGATTTATTACACTGAAGCAAGAATGGTCCAGCATATGCAAATTGATAAATGGAAAGTAACATATAAAAGAAATGAATTCAACAAAACCATATGAACATAACATAAGTAGAAAAAGCATTCGATAAAATTCAACATCTCTTAATAATAAAAACTCTCAAGAAATTAGATTCAGAAGGAACATACTGCAAAAAGTACAGGCTAGGGGCTGGGGATGTGGCTCAAGCGGTAGCGTGCTCGCCTGGCATGCGTGCGGCCCCGRGTTCGATCCTCAGCACCACATACCAACAAAGATGTTGTGTCTGCCGAGAACTAAAAAATAAATATTAAAAATCCTCTCTCTCAAAAAAAAGTACAGGCTATATATAATAACACACAGCTAGTATCATCCTGAATGGGGAAAAGCTGAAAACATCTTTCCTCAAAAGATCTGGAACAAGACAAGGATATTCATGTTCAATATTCTTTTAATATAGCAATTGAGAAATTACTAAAGAGAAAGAAAGAGCATCTAGATTGGCAAGGAAGAAGTAAATCATGCATGTTTGCAAATGATATGGTTTTATATACAGATAAATCTATGCATCAAAAAGCTGTTAGGACTTATAAACTAATTCAGTAGAGTTGTAGAATACAAAATCAGCATATAAAAAAGTAACATTTTTATATATCAATAATGAACTTCCTGAAAAAGTAATCAAGAAAATAATCCCATATACAAAAGGAAAGAAAATTAGGACTACATTTAACAAAGAAGTGAAAGATCTCTACAATAAAATTTATAAAAAAAAAACTGATGAAAAACTTATAGAAGATAAAAATGGCAAGATACTGTGTGTTCATGGGTTAGTAGAATTAGTGTTGCTAAAATGACCATACTAAAATAATCTATAGGTTCAATGAAATTCTCTAGAAAGAAAATCATTGGTCTTTTTCATGAGATAGAGTAAACAATCCTAAAATTCATGTTACTACAGAAGATCCAGAATAGTCTAAGTGATCTTGAGCAAGTAAAAGAAAGAAAAAATCCAAACCAAAACAAAATAACAAAAACAAAGCTGGAGGCATCATAATACCTGACTTCCAAACATACTACAGTTAATAGTAACCAAATGAACAAGGTACTAGCATGAATAGACACATGAACCAATGGAACAGAATAGAAAATACAGAAATTAATCCATGTTCACACAGCAAATTGATTCCCCCCCCCTCCCGCTTTTTTCTTTTGTGGTGCTAAAGATAGAACCTGTGGCTCATGCAAATTAA